GCCGCTCGTGCGTCGCGTGTCGCTCGTGCGTCGCGTGTCGCTCGTACGTCGCGTGTCGCTCGTGCGTCGCGTGCCGCTCGTGCGTCGCGTGTCGCTCGTGCGTCGCGTGTCGCTCGTACGTCGCGTGTCGCTCGTGCGTCGCGTGTCGCTCGTACGTCGCGTGTCGCTCGTGCGTCGCGTGCAGCTCGTGCGTCGCGTGCCGCTCTTGCGTCGCGTGCCGCTCGTGCGTCGCGTGCCGCTCTTGCGTCGCGTGCCGCTCGTGCGTCGCGTGATGCTCGTGCGTCGCGTGTCGCGCGTGTGTGGAGGCGCAGTGGAAATGTATATATGTAAAGCTGTCAGCTGCGACATATTATACTGCGGACTGTGTTTTTATGTCAAATATAAGTAAATGTACATTTTTACATATTGTTTTATTGCCTCGTACCGATGGAATAGATGTTTGTTGAAACAACAATGTTTAGAAATGTTATCAAATTTATTTAATATTATATAAAAAATATAAAGAAATAAGTTGAATGTAAAACTGTAAATTGCTACAATATTTACGGTAAACTTGAAAAATATGACAATGTAACCAAAAGTAAAATAATCAAATTTACAACATAATGTAAGTAACTGTGCGTTTCCACTGAAGTATTATACTTGTACAAAAATATATACTTTTTTTGCAAAATGAATAAATGACATGACGATGTTTTGGAACGTGTTTCATCAGTGGAAACGCACGGAAAGAAACAGCCAGTGGTAGCAGACGCTAAGGTTAGTTTATTCAATTCGCTTTGCTTCTATACGTTTATATTTTCCTATTATATTTATTTGCAATGCTTTTTTACTATAACGAGGTATTTTGTATTCGCTTTTAATAATTTTATCGCTTTTATATTAACACAATGAAATTAGTTTCTGTTTTATTTTGAAATGATATGTATTATACACAAGGTAGAAATGTAAGTTCGTTTGTTTTCCAGTTTGCAGCGACACCGAGATATCTGACAGCGAAGACTCTGCTCCCCTCCTCAACAACAACACTGTTACAACATAACATTGTTGTATTGTCCGTGCACTCGTGTTGCTTTCTTACTGCTTTAATAAAGAAATAACACAACAGAGCTCTTTTATTTTACCTTCACTGTATATACCTGAAATCTGTTTACATCTAAAGCGGCAATAGTCTTATAGTTATAGACAAGGATATCATTCGCGTAGTCCGAGTTCGAATCTCGCTGTTCGGCTACTGTCTTATTGCATATCCTTTACAAATTTAGAACTAAATTGAAATTATACAAGAAATATTAGTAATTTATCAAGAAAAAAATATATGTCGTTAACAAAAAAAAACAAACATACACTCTGTCGTTGCTGACGCAAGAAAAATCTGGCTGTGACTACGGTTAACGTAAGTATATCAAACGATAAAAACATCGAAACTAACATGTTAAAATGAAGTCAATAAACCAATGATGTAATGTTTCTTGACAATAAATTGCTAATTCAAACAAGTCACTTTTAAAAAATCAAGTGTAAATTTGCATCCTTAACATACAGAAGACAAATGAAATACAAGGTCATATCTAAGGTATTTCCGTCTATCTTCAACACAATCTACAAACTAACATTTGAACAAATGTTCAGCCTAAAAGAAAATAGTACCACGACCTCGAAAAAAACGATGTGAAAATTAACTTTTATTTTGCTGAGCGTACCAAAAGTTACTTAATTATTCTATTTCATTCTCTCTAACAATATCTACGAATAGATAGAACTGACGAGAGATGAGAAAATGTAATTATAACAACAATTCTGTCTGTCAACATTATATCATAAGTAAATTTTATGAATATCATTAAAAAAAATTAATGAGTTGCTTCTTATAGAGTCTATTATGATACGCGAACAGATTAAACATCAGTTCATACCAACGTCCGACCGCGACACCACTATCGCACTGTTGAGTAAACAAATCCTTTAAAGTCTAGTGTTTTCTCAAAGTTTGTGTCCTAATGTGTTAGTGCCATGGATCACAGGAGATATAGGAGGGACAGCTATCAAGACATCGCCGGCGGAGGTACGCATCTATTCAAAATACTAATTTAACACTGTCTAATTTGAAATTAATACACGTTCTCTTATCAGTTTGTTTACATGTCTGTTATCTAGCTCGGTCATGAATGAGTAACATAATATTGTATCGTGACATGTAAATGCTACTGACATACGTTTGTACAACGACATGGTGCCAAATGCCAAAAAAAGAACACTATTGGTTGAAATATTTAGTAATAATTCTGTTTGCGATAATCAATATTTCACATTTACCTTAAAGGGCCTCAGCGGTTGTTTTAAATTTAGATCATGTAACCACATACCTGTTTCCTTCATTTCAAAAATATAATTTTTAACATTAAGTTAACAGAAACTAGTTATCTTAATTTTTCAAAACATGACCGTGAACTATTTAAAAACTAACAGTGTGTATCGTTTTGGTAGATTTGTTTTTAATCGGTCAGCATTCGATATTGGATGATGTACAGGATAGCACAGCACACGGCCGGTATTACTGAATTAGTGAAATAAATCGATACGAGTAAATGTTTAGAATTTTCCGTAAATTAGAGCCATTGGACCTAATGGTTTTGTTCCTGACATGTGAAACAGCCGACCTTCTGTAGGTTGTAGTAAATGCGAAAGCATAGCAAGTGGCTTTGAATATCTTTATACCGCAATTTTCTATATTATCACTTTTTCTAACGCGAGAACGTAAAGTTCTAGATAGCTGCTTATTTTAGTAGATTTAATTGACAGTAACAATGCAACAATATGACTTATTAGAGAAAAAACACCTTGGACACAAACCAATTTGTAATAATTACACTAAAATTATGAATGATGTGGATGACTACTTCGTGAAAATAACCATATTATGTATACAAAGCAAGAATAAATCTTGCTTTAGATCCGCCCATAAATGTAGAGACCGGATCGAATTCGGGACAGCGACGGGCAACGGGCGTGCGCTAATGGTATTCTCTACCAAAAAAATATTTACTTACAATAAAAGCAACTTTACTTAATTACTAAAACAATTTCGCTTATGTATAAAAATACAGGCATATTAAAGGTATTAAAATTTTCCAAACCTTTGAGCCTCTTTTAAAGCTTTTGTCTTTTCACGATAAAAGGTAAATTTAATTACTTAAACGTTGAGTTGAGTACTTTATGAGTAATTTATTTGCAGACATCGAGTTATCGAACATTAACTACCCAGCTCAGCGGGCGTCGTGTACACAGCGTAGCAGGCTTGGACTTCACTACCTCTGGTACCGCGCGAAGAGATGGCGACGAATGGGTAAGTACCCAGTACATACACAATTAAATCTACATTAAGATGCTTTGAGTTTTATTTAGTGAGATTTTCTTTTCGTTTGCTTCATATTATGTATAGTATTGATTAAACCATAAAAAAACAATACAAAGAAATACGTTTTCTTCGTATCCATGAATTAGTATCATAAGAAACGGCTTATTGTTACAAAACACGAAATATTAATAATAATTAAAATCCTTTTGATGAAAGTCATCAATCAATCAAAAGTTGCTAGTTATTTCGCACGCATTGTCCGCAGCGATTTCATTACGCCTACAATCATAAATATAGCGACTGCGCCCGGCCCGACCCGGCCCGGCCCGGTTGAGCATCGTGCCACCATTTCATTATGATTGCAAAGAAAAGAAAAATACCTAAGTAATTTCGCACACTTCATTGAACTCTTCTGGCTTATCGCTTTCTCATATGTATTTACCAAAAACACTATCGACATATTATTAAGTTATTTTATTAAAAAACACTACTATTAAAAGATCAACGTATAAAAGTACATAATTTACGCTCAGAATTAAATAAATTCTAGCTGTCGCCCGCGACTCCATAAGCGCTCAATTAAAAAAAACTTAATTAGTGAATTATGTGTACTTCCAGACTATGTTCTATATCTATGCCAAAATTCATCGAGATACATTTAACCTTCTGGAGATACGTGATAACAACCATATATACATTTTAACATTCGCATTTATTAGTAAGATGATTTTCATTAGCATTGAAATTGCGACATTGAGGTGTGGCTTACAGCTTACCATTGTCCTTGTATGAGACACAAACACGGCAGGGGGGTAGGCTGTCGTGCGTGTGTGCACCCTCAGCGCCGTGTCCCAGCACCTGGTGCTCAGCGCTAGCACGCAACCTCAGTGGTTAATATTAACACCACTCAGTGTTACACTTGACCTACACAACCTTTCACATACCATTATAACCTATATTTATAAAATGGCTGGCTTTTTATATTTAATGTCACTTAAAAGCTATTTTTAACGTAATTTAACGCAAAACTCATATGAATATCAGAATAAAATATACTAACAGTTATCATGGTTTATTTCTGATTATTTTACGATAAAGTTAAGCGCAAAATGTTAAATTAATGGTAGTTATTTAGGCAATCTGTTAATTAAAACCACACCTCTGGAATTCATGTCATGAATTTTGCCTGAAGGCTTTTATGACTAAATACAGTAAGAATATGATTCAGATGTGAATCATAATGAGTCATGAAAAGTATTATATATGTAATTAGTTTTTATTTATGTACTTTGATTTATAATGTTGTCCACCCTCGATTTCTTAATATATAAAAAGGTGCCCAATATACACGATTTGTGTTAAAATTTGGTATAACCATAACTATGTGTTTATATATTTGTGTAAATGTAGCTGGTTTCAATGTATACTAGAATTTTTAAGTTTAACTTTGCTAACCAAAATATATGTGCGAAAATTGAAAAAAAAACAAACCCTGTTTACGAAATTGGATTTGCTACACAAAGCGGAGACAAAAAAGCGAGTTTGTGGTATGTTTGGCTTTTATAATTTTTTGTAACCATACATTTACTATAAAATGAACCTTATCCTTTTAAAGTTATGGTGTATTTTACTACGATAAGCATAGTAAGGGTGACTGAAAAGTATCTCGTATTCAGTATGTGATCTATAAAAACATAATTGGTGAATGTTTGCTGCGCGATAATTGGCTTAAAAATATTACTATGCGCTTTATTCGCTATTCATTGCAGTTATTTCGCTAATTTGATACACTGTAAAACAGTAACTAATAACAATCGTTGGCTGTAAAGGTCACGTGGATAGTTCACACGTAGATATGAATTTAATCCAAGTATTGAATCAATAATTAACATAAAAAATACTCTCATTCATTTAATCTTCGTAGTGAGTCCACCAGACAGGTTGGAGCAGGAACATGACACGATGTAATCCAGTCGTTACTATTGATGTCTTATTAATGCTGCATATATTACTGTACTATATTTAAGCTAACGATATCTTTATTTACGCTACATAAACAGTTTATGTGATCCATCTAACACGAGATTCATCGCATCGCACAGAGCCGGCCGCTGCCGCTGGCGCGATGCCAGCGACACTCGCGGCGTCGGCCGTTTTCTTAAGCTTTATCACTAAAGTTTTGTTTTAGAGTAAAGTTTATAGTAAATTAGTGGAGCTTGCGGTTTATTAATTTTCATTTATTGTTCATTCGCTAATGTCAGTAGACATTTGTTAGTGCTCTCCCGATATTGTTAGTATAAAATAATTCGGTGATCCGTTGTTAAATTATGTTTTTTTCACGTTAGTACTTATTCATTATTTTAGTAACAAGCTAGGTTTCTTCAAAGCCTACGTTTTAATGTTTTCTGCATTCCTTCAGGATAAATCTTTGTTAATTAGTGATGATGTTCTTTTATATTTTCGATATTAAAAGTGTAAATACATTTTTTGTAAAACTTTCACTTTTACACACGTTATTATTATTTTATATCAATTCGTCCTATTACACTTGAAATGTTTTTAATTTATTCCAAATACCAAAATATCATAGTTACATTGCTTTATTGAATGAGTAAAGATTTAAACGTAGAGGGCGCGCCCGGAAGCGGGTGCGGGCGGCGGTTCGCTTCCGGTGCGGCTGCCGAAATGTCAGTCGTCTTCCGCTAGACGTCGCCACTTTGCCAACGAAGACACGACACGAATTACAGGTCTGTTACTTTATTGCCACAACAAAAAATTCAATTAACAACATAGAAAACTATAAAAAAAAGAAACTAAACATTCGATTACCAATTAAGTGTACCACAAAAACTGTTATACAACCTCTCGTTAAGAAGTTCCTAGTATATATTATATTTTCGCAGCTTGACCTCGTTGCCATCAGGTTGCTTGATATATGAAAATCTAGAAAGTTTTTCCAGAACACAATTCCGCAAATACTATACTATACGTCCATTGTCTTGTTGAAGCCGCCCTTTATTTTTTTCAAATGTCAGTAAATATCGAGGTCGTCAGCAGCGGGAGCGAGCCTTTTACTGACAAAATAGCTATACACCACATCTGGAAATGCCAGTCGATGCTTTCGCACAAATCGTCACATAAACACAAAATGTTCCCGGTAATGGTCTATTCAGTTCTATCCTGCCTATTTAAAGGCTGGCTTTATATGTACCGCTGGAAGCTAACTTTACGTCGTATAATACACTTTCTACTTAAAAACTAGCCTTATATTTGTTTTTATCTGCTGTTGATGATTTAATTACACTCATAAAGTAAAAAAAAATGTATTCTTATCGTCATAGTTATTTCACAATGACAGAAGTGAATGTGGACAGTTCCCTGTTCTTTTAGCACATGGCCGCTGTATAAATAGGGCTATTAAACATTATTATTAGTAGTGAGTGTTTTATGACTTCGCATAAACTAATCTACGAGGTGACGCGTCTCCAGAGGACATCGCCTGTTGCTGTTGGCTTGAACTCTGACGCGCGTCAGAGTCGAGGCAACGCGCGGAGTAACGCGTCTAAAAACGTTCTCTGCGGCAACACAAGTAGGTTACTGTGACTCTTTACTCAATGACATTATTGTTCAGAATTCAAGATGAGCGACTGAATGTTTAGTATTTTAAAATAGTTAAAACAAGGAAATATGTTATTTACGTTGTATGTCTCTTGTTTGTCTCATAGCGAGATTTTCGATGGAACAATTTATACCAAGACTATCATCATTGGGTTTTATCTGCACACTTTGAACAATTGAGAAGTGCAAAACATCCACTTTATTAAAAGAAAAGTGAAAGAAAATTCTCTGTGTTATAAAAATCCCGCACTTGACATGCATGCCCGGATCCACATTCGTTTGAATTTGACATCCGACATTATTTGTTCTGACGCACAAAATGTAAACAAGGGATGTCATAGCGAACTGCAATCTATTACATTTATATTTGTACGTTTGTATCTATTCTAGATATAACTTTACCATCATTTGCATTTACTAAAAATGCCACATATACTTCTTTACGTACTAATTTTCTTCTTCCGAACATTCATGTGGCATCTGATTTTAATAATATTCTTATTATTGTCAGATCCAATGAATTCATCGCTTCATTGGATTGGATTTATAGCTGCTTTGAGTTATCGAATAAAATAAATCGATATAAAATTCCTTCTTCAATACATAAGACCTTAGATAGAGAAAAATAACAGCTGTTCTTGCGCTTCCGCAAATAAACAGTACTGAGCTAGAAAATCGTTACAAAGTCTTATTGCTGACTAAACTTTATAACTGCAATTGTAGTGTAAAAGCTTAGCTTACATAAGTAAATGCTGCTTGAGTTAGCCAGTTATGTATTAAGCAGTTTAGAGTCTTCGTACACCACTGAGCTTACATACAATACGGAGAGCTCAATTTTAAATATGTACCGGTTAATTTTATTACGGAATTAACCAATATGGATTTACTTTTAGTAATTGCAAATTTTGAATACTTGAAATTTTATTTGGGAATTAAGGCGTTTGGCTTTAAGTCAAAGCAAGAATGTCGGCAGATAACAAAAACCAAAATAAATAGCGTCTTTTCCTTTCAATATTTATTTTATAAATTTAAATTAACAAACATATAAATGATCCTCTTAATTATCAAGAGGAAATATTAGATAAACATTAAAGTATAGGTTACTGTCCAAAAGCCCGAAAACTTTGATAAAGACAATGAAAAACTTCGTGCGTAGCAAAGTTGTAGCTAGCCGGCAGTTTGTAAGGCCGGGCGAGTCGGTGCGGGGTGAAGGCGGGCGGCGGCCAGCAGTGTGTCCGCGCCCCCGCCCGCGCTGGCCGTGCCGCCCGCCCTGCCGCCGCGCCGCGCCACACCGCGCGATAACTTCACGACAATCCACTATAGTTCTCCATTATTTACTCTACAAACACCTTAACGACTTAAAAATGTTG